TCGACGTGCCTTGAATACACAGGTGCAAGTCGTCCTTCCCGGAATAGCCGTCGGAGTGACGTGCTAGCCAAGCACTTCAATGAGAACAAGAGTGCAGATCAGCTTCCGAGAGACGTCACGGTGGATACCTAGAGGCCTTTCCGGGAGAGGTATGTGCTCATTGAACAGCCACTAGGAACGCTGACGAACATCTTCACTGGCAGAAGGGGTTACATACTATCTTCCGCCGGTCTTGTGATCTAAAATGCCGGCACCCAAGTTGCATGTCCTTGAACACCGAGGCACCTAGATCGGCCTCGAGAACAAGATAACCTTTGGAGAACGAATAGGCAGACATCCCCCTTTGACGATCCCGGCGTTCCAACTTCCGCGCTCCGCCAGGGTGCTTGGAGCAGGCTACAATGCTATCAGCCATTCAAATATTCACTGACCGCCTTCTGGAATCTGGAGAGAAGAACGCTACAATTGGCAGTTGATTGAAGTTCCCAGGAACCATTCCCACAGATCTCAACTTGCCATCAGACTTGAGTGCCAGATCTTGGGCTTTGATGTCAAGAACTTAGCAAAAACGGACGAGAGCCTAATCAGAACAAAGCTATCCCAGATTTCAGTTACATCGACAGATAAAGAACTGGTGCGCCCTTACGATGTACCGCCAGCGATGCTCCGTGCTCCATGCTCATCGTCAGCGCATGTTCCAGGCCAGGTCGGCGAATTTTTAAGCGCCTGCGGGATAGTACCATGCAGGCCCAAGTAACGTTCATTCCGTCGTCGGCGTTGGAGTGAAAGTGAGGTCATTAAGGATAAGATTGGTCAGGAAAGAAAATTGTGACCACACGGTAGACAAATGCGGCCCTACTTTCCGGCTAGTTTTTGGTTTGATAGACGCCGACTTGCCGAGAAATGATGCGGATGTCGGTCGAAAGAAGGGTCCGATGTGTTTGTGCCAACATTACGCCGTTTGGCCACGATCGCGGTCACTGAGTTGCCTGACCAAGTGAACTGCCACTCTTGCGATGTGATTTCGTGATGTCTCGTACACATCTGATATTCCTACGGGACGGGAAACTACATGCTCCAACAAAGCACTGTCTCTTGCTAATAACGACGGCAGAATTCTTCTGTCGTGCCTTTGCATAAGAAGCCGAACTTCCCTCCGTTACTTTCCTCCATACTCACTTGCCTCATGAACCCTGCCCGCTACCGTGTTCGGCTCTGCCTCGATCTGTGTCGCACGATAGTGCTCCCTGTGCTGGTGCTCTCCGTCGTCTTGAGGTTTTTCCAGACGCGCCTTGGGTCTTTTGCCGTGCCTGTACATCTTGGTTTTGTCATCGCATGGGCTTCCGCCAAAGGGGCTATCTCGAAACGCCTTCAGGATCGTGAGGCAGCACGACTAGGAGCCAAATCTATTCCCCGAATAGTCGGGAAATGGCCTGGAAATATCGATATCCTTGTCAAAATGTTGAAGGCCTTCAAAACGAGCTATGTGCTCGACGTGTATCTTAAACTCTTCGAGGAGTACGAGTGTACTACGCTCAATACCCGAATTCTCTGGTCTGACCATGTGTGTATATCTTATACTACTAAAAATGAACCGGGAAGGTTGAGCTTGAAATTATGCTTTTGTTAGATAATATCCATGGATCAGGAGCACGCTAAGTTCGTCCTGGCCACTGGGTTCCGTCACTTTTGGAGAGGTCGAGCTCAAAAGGAACGAATGTTTGTCACTATCTTGCTTTTTCTACTTCAATAGCCCATTCTCAACTTCATACCAGGGAAACATTTTTAGGCGAAGGCATCTTCAACCGCGACGATGATGTAAGTAACATTTTAAACTTCCATTATAAGATTGGCCCTTGATGACCACGTTCTAGGTTTGGAAAATGGTGCGTTGCTGCATACGCTGATGAGATGACCCGGAACCGACATATTTCTTACAGCATCGGAGCATCGCACGACCTTTCTTTGCTCGTGAACGGATATCAGACTTTGAAATCTTCGAAAAGCATAGCGCACGGACACTGGCACTCTTGTCTGCTTCCGAAGGCGCTAACCAGCCCAGCGAAGCCCAGGATCTTTATGCTCGTTTCACGATAGACGCAGCATCCGAGTTCCTCTTTGGCAAGAACCTAGATACCCTCTCCTCAGCCCTGCCTATTCCAGGCAAAACGCCCATGGGCCCGAAAGGCTCTGCTACCCTGGATGAGTGGGGCTCATTCACTGGGGCGTTCGAGATGGCTCAGCAAATCGTCACAACGAGAGCTCGAATCGGATATCTCTGGCCTCTGTTTGAAATTTTCGGCGACAAGATGATACCGTACATGGAGGTCGTCCAGAAGTGGCTGGATCCCCTCGTGGGGCAGGCATTGGCGGACAAGGCTCACTCCCAAAAAGCGGGCATATCCAATGGCATTGCGGACAAAACATTCCTACAGCACCTAGTCGACAGCACTGATGGTAGGAAATTTTCCCTTCCACCTGTCTGAAGCCAAATTTTCTGACCTGTGGATACAGACCCTATCCTGATCCGTGATCAATTGCTCAGCATGCTCCTTGCGGCGAGGGACACTGTTCGTATAATTCCCCTCTCAGCACCTTGCAACCCCGCTCATATCCTCTCCAATACTATTAGACCGCATGTGTGCTGACCTATATCACCTACTTCATGGCCATATATCCGCACGTCGCGGAGCGACTACGTGCCGAGGTCCTGGAGCACTGCGGACCGTCTGCCCCGCCCACCTACGACCAGATCAAAAATCTCAAATACAGTGCGTACTCCACCTGCCCAATCCACTCGTAATTTGCAAAACACGTTCTGATTGCTATCTCGACACTCCCCAGTGCGGGCAGTCATAAACGAGACAATGCGGCTGTTCCCCCCTGTGCCTTTAAACTCCGTGAGTCGCGGCCAGAGCCCTGTGTCTTGCCGCCCTCGGACCCCACATATCCTGAACAGGACCGGCGGCCGCTGTACATGCCTGGCAGCACGACTATCATCTACCTACCCCTCATCGTCCAGCGGAACAAGGCCTTATGGGGACCCGACGCCGATGCGTTCGACCCCGAGCGCTGGTTAGATCCCAAGCGGATCGCGAAGTTCGTCGCTAATCCCGCCATGTTCGCACCCTTCAGCGCTGGGCCGCGTATAGTAAGATCTATGATTCTGGCTTGTTTCGTATACTGAAGGATTGCCTGGATCTAGTGCATCGGGCAGAACTATGCATACAATGAAACGTCATATTTCCTCGTAAGGCTGCTGCAACAGTTCGACAGGTTTACCCTGGCACCTGAGGTCCAGCCTGAAGGCTCTATGCCTCCGCCGGAGTGGAAGGAACGGCATGGTCGGCAAGCGACAGAGAAAATCTGGCCCGCCGCTGCGATGACCCTCTATGTCAAGGTCAGCCTCATGATCGTGGGTTCTGATTGATTTCTGACATTGTGGTTTTTTTTGCAGGGTGGAATGTGGGTCCGTTTCCACAAGGCAAATTCATGAGAGGACTTGACCCTCAACACTCGACGAACAATATACCCAGGCTAGACCTCTTTGCCGTCACCAGACCACTGCCCTATCATCTCTCACACGGCCTTGCAGCACCCGGTGCCAGTGTTGGATCGGAGTCCGCTGGTTGCGGGAATCCTTTGAGTTTCTTGCTTTCTTGGTAGATATGCGCTGCGGCTACGTGGACCATGGGGATGGGATGATACTTCTTCTAATCTTGGGATTTTTTGGGGTTGCATGCTTAGAAAGGGATTTTTTGACGGTCCTCGCTGGGTTTGCTGGAGCCATGAACGCCTGCCGTGGTGCTTGTTTGGGCACGGCCACTGTAATCAGCTTGGATCACATACATATACCCCATTACATGGAGGATTAACGCAGGAATTTTTGATTTTCAGCACGTAATTTAATTCGCTTTGTAAAGAACATGATTTGTGGACAGTTGTGATCTGGCGTGTGATATGGATGAGAGTTATACTAAGTAACATGTGTGGCATGGTGACGTGAGGTGTAAGTAAACCGAATTTCGGTGAGTGATACGTAGTAAATGATTGTAGTGGATATGTATGTAGTGATGCAGTAGACTAAAGTAGGATGGATAAGTAAATACAGTGCGATCGCGAAACTAAGAAGAGGAGGGAGAAGGAGGAGAATGAGGCGGAGGTGGGCAGAGCATCGAGAACAAAGACATAGAAAAGGAAAAACGCGTGTAGAATGTCAGTAACTGCCCGCGCAGTCATGGCATGTTGTCGAAGCACTGGATTTCTTTGTTCAGAGGTATGGCGGTGATCAGACGATTAGAACTCACCTCTCTATGTTCTCCGTGCAACAATTTCGACAGACCGTTCTACCACATCCCCGCGCGAGATCAAATTCACCTAGGCTTTGTATCCAACCATCCGAGGAGTAATCTTGATTATCCTCGTCGGCGCCTTTCTTCCTCTTCTCATTACTCCCCGGCAGCGTCGGAGTGGAACGCTGGGGATCGCTCGTGTTGGTGTTCATGGAATTGAGGGTGAGAGCGGAGCGCTGAGGCGAGAGCGGTGGAGATGGACATGGCGTCGGCGACCTTGTCAGGTAAGGTGTTGGTGGCATTGAAGTCAAAGACGCGGTGCATGTGCGAGAGCAGATGGCGCAGGTCGGAGAGGAGCACCTAGGTGATGATTTACATTGTAACTCGCATGGTCATTCCAGGTCGTCTCTAGCACTTACTGAGCACAGACAATGGGCAGACCGTGTGCAGTGTTCAGTGCGCGATGGCACGACACACAACTGGGCATAGCAGTCTTGAATGTCACAGGTTTCAGAGCATTCTTTGAAAGAATGTTTGGGGACGGCTGCGAGGCTACAACCAGTTTTCGCCGTTTCGAAGGTCTCGCTGTTCCCATGGTAAGTAGAGGTTGAGATGAACAAGTGGACTGAGTCGTCAGCATGGTGGCCTCCTCATGTTAGGTGAGTGACAAAAGACCTGGAGCACAAAAGCAAGGAAATGCAAAAGTATTACACCGAACGGGAATCGAACCCGTGCCGCTTGCTACCGGAGAATGGAAGGCAAGCATGATAACCACTTCACCATCGGTGTTATATTTGTTAGCATCAATAGTGTACCCAAGTCATCGAATTGAGGCTGTGCGACGCACAGTCTTAAGTGTCTCCGTCCGTTTCTTTCTGTGGCACTAACCATGCAACACTTCGGCAAGGCTGCCCTTCGTGTAACGAAAAACTACACAAAAGGCTACTCGGACACGCAGGCAAAGGTCCGCGATGCCACCTCCAACGACCCCTGGGGACCGTCGGGCACCCAGATGAACGAAATCGCGCAGATGACCTATAACCAGTTGAGTCATTGGAGGCACTTTCATCGAGATGTGATAGTTCTGACACCATGAATCTTCATCGAAGGGGTGATTTCGTGGAGATCATGGAGATGCTCGATAAACGGCTTAACGACAAGGGCAAGAATTGGCGCCATGTCTTCAAGGTATGTTGCAGCGATCGGTGGTGTGGCAGGGAGCTATTGTACTGATTCAACCCTCCGTTCGTGCATAGAGTCTTACGGTCTTGGACTACTGCCTCCACCAGGGCTCCGAAAACGTTGTCATCTACTTCCGGGATAATGCCTACATCATTAAGACACTAAAGGAGTTCCAATATATCGACGAGGATGGGAAAGATCAAGGGGGCAACGTCCGACAGAAGGCCAAAGACATCACGAACCTGCTCTTGGATGAGTCTCGTCTTCGAGAAGAACGGCGTGCACGGGCGTCCATGCGCGATCGGATGATACGGGGTGCCGGAGGGGCTGATGAAGAAGGGGATGAGCATCAACGCAAACGTCATGAACCCGTTCCCAATGGCTCATTAGCGGGAAAGCGGCCGAATAGGGATGAAGACGAGCTCAGAAAGGCGATCGAGGAGAGCAAGCGCTCGCTAGCTGCGGAGCAGCTTTCAAACGAGGAGAGGGACTTACAGAGGGCCCTCAAGATGAGTGAGGAGGAGGAGGCGAAGAGGAAGAATCTCGTCGAGGATTCAAATGCATCCGCATTATTCGACGACCAGAACCAACTGTGCGTAATGTTACCTGTTGTATTGAATGCTGATAGAACGATGCTTCTACGTTCTACAGACCGCCGCCGACGCCGACTAATCCTTTCCCTTTCTCGGACCCTACACCATATGCTACTGGCCTGCAACCTCAATTCACTCAGATTCAACCCCAATTCACACAAATGCAACCCCAATTCACGTCCTTCAATCCGTACCAACAGCAAGCGGATCAAGAGGCTGCTCAGGTACCTTGTTTGCCCATCCCCCAGGTGTATGACTTCACTGAACAACTGTTGCGTCTTAGGCGGAGTACATGCGCCAGCAGCAGTTATTTCTTCAACAGCAGCAGCAGGCGCAGCAACAACAGGCCCAACAGGAAGAGTGGATGCGACAACAACAACTTATCCAAATGCAGCAGCAGCAGCAACAACAACAACAACAGAACAGTTTGTTCGCGCCCCAGCAGCTCACAGCACAGCCCACAGGATTTGGGTAGGTCCTCCTCACACTCTCGCCCACCTACATAATATCTCACAATGTCTTAGGTCGAACAACCCTTTCGCCCCATCCCCGACCCCCAACCCGTCCTACTCCCCCGTGCAAAAGCAGGCACCGTCCTTCAACCTCGTGGGCACGTACGACACCCACACCGATTCCCATCTGTCTTCCCTCTCGCAGTCCTCCCCCGTGCCGCCGTCATCCGCAAATCCCTATCAGAACCAACAGAACCAAGGACAGAAGCAGCTGCAGGTTAAGACGAAGAAGGATCTCGACCAAAACGAGCAGAACTTGGCCAACTTGTTCGCGAACAGGGACGACGGCACGGATACCTTCGGAAATTTCGGTGCACTGAGGTGCGTTTACCTTGCTATCAATCTATGACTTTCCGCCCTAACGTTCGTGTTTTCATCGTAGATACGGACACACGGATGCCGCTCGCGTCATCGCACAGAAGTCTGGGACCAATCCGTTTGCACAGCAGCAACAGCAGCAGCAGCAGCAGAACAGCGAGCGACCGTTCTTCGACATATGATGACCAGGTCTCGGCGTGTTGTTGAACAGTACCTACGATCCTTTTTTCTGATTCCTCTTACCTCTGCCTCTTTTTTGTATATCATCTAGCCTATACTCCTCTTTTCCTTGTTTCATCGTCCCCGGATGTCGTCCATCTGCCGTTTCTGCCCCTAGTGCTGCCTTCAGTCTACACGCTCTTTGGCGCCCTTTCACTTTCGTCATCATCCATTTCCCTCCCTCCCCCTCAATCCCGTTACCCATCACCTATATGTGACGTACACACTATACGTGTGTCCCTTCCCACCCGCCGGAATTGATTCAGTTAGCTTTCTTTCTACTCAACGACGCTTATCTATCGTGCCTTCCTGCGTATACTCCCCCCCTGAAAGTTATATCCTGACTTCTGCTCGAAGCCTATCCAAGTCCAGCGTGAATCTCTATGGACATACATATTCTTTGACAATGGCTTGGGATAGCTGTGGACGTTGGAACCGATGCCGATGGGTAGGCGATCCAGCTGTGTGGTCGATCTTGCCACTTGGAACTGTCAGGGTAGTAGTAGTAGTCACCTTCCACCTTGCTATGTGACGACCCCAACTTCCTCTTAAATAACTTACCCGAACCCTGGATTCACTTATTTGCTAGGCTCTAACCTGCTCTAACAGCTCTAGCAGTCACAGCGGGAAAATATTTCACCTCGCTTGCCTCCTTCCCTCTCGTTCCACGGTCCTCTTAGTCCTCCAGGCTCCACATGCTCCGCAGCCGCATAGCATTCTGTCGCTTCTTGGAATCAGCCCGTGATGTCGAAATTTGGGAGATCGACCCCACTTCGATGGTCACTCATGATCATTGTGCTCTACTTACATGTAGTATCATCATGATCACCACTTGATCACCCTCGATAGAAACCAGCACCCGATTTACGTGGCGATGGGGACTGATGGGGACGAAACACGACCATGTGCTCTGTTATGATTTTCAGCATGGCACACGACCTACGCAGGTATTTTGGCGACGATGACGGCCCGGGTGGGAAGCTCGCCAGAGGTATAAGAGCCTCCCGGCCGTATCATATTTTCTTCAGCTGGTCTCACTCCTCTATCTGTATGTCCTCTTGTCGTCACCTCCTCCTCTCCCCGCTGACCCCCTTTCGTGTAGATCTACAAACAGTTTCGTGTTGCACGCCAAACCTTCTACTCTTATTCGACATGCTGTCCAAATCCATTGCCGCTTTTATCACCCTTGCTGTCTCATTGTCCAGCGTGGCTTACGCCAATGTCGTCCCTCACACGTATGTTTCCGCTTCCACTTCTTACTAAAAGTTCTGCTGATCGGGCTCTGCTCCAGCCATGGTGAATCTCATTCCACCCACCCCGGTCACGATGACCACACAACGCATACGCAGCGCACACGCGGCCTCGAACGGCGTATGGCCGGTCTCGATGCTGAGCCCGAAGGGATCCTGGCGCGCGACCTCCTGCCCCACTTCTCGACACGAGACTTGATTGATGAGATCGTCACACGGTCGAAGATAAGTCGCCGTGGAGGAGCGTCGTCGACGATGAAGGCATACAGTTGCACGTTCTGTGGAGCGGCCTACAAGACCAGGGCTGAACTTACGAAGCACCACAATAGCAAGCATGCCAAGGACTATGGTACCATTTAGTCTCTCTCAGAGTAATGATATAGTATAGAGTAGAGCATACCATGATAATTACACTTCGTGCATCCAGCTTGGCCTGAAAGTTTTGGTACTAACGTCGAGTTCATCCGCGCCCACCATCCTGAGAGGGATACTGACAAGGTTCCCTTTAGCCTTCCTCACTTAGATGTATGTCGCAATCGATTCTGATGACTCGACCTTACCATGGCGCTTTTGTCTCCTATTCTGTGGACTGAGCCTCGAGATTCATGAAAGTGCGATGGCTGATGTACCTTTTGATATAATTTCAACAGCTCGAAGCGCCAAAATATCAAGCTCTAAGATGTAGCCACTTCCAATTCTTTAGACCAAGAGGTGCTGGTGACGCCCTTTGCCGTATGACCCTCATGGTGCACCCCAAGCCACGCTTTTCCGGAGGCCTTCCGTAGCATGTCCCTGGCGAGCTTGATACAAGCAACGAGTTCGAGGTCCTTAACTATGTTCTCTGGGGACGTTTGCAAAGTGATCAACTCAATCGAGCGAATGTTTTTCAAAGAAGACAGCATGCCGAGCGTTTTCTAACGGAAGGATTGAGTGGACTGATCAAGAGATGAGATATAGAACGAACGGCATTAACGAGTGAGCCAAATTTGATTTCTTGTAGATTAGGGGCTGCCTTAACGATCCCTAGGAGATGATTATTGGTTAGACTGTAACTTGTGCCCAGAAAGCCCGTACCCAAGACTCACGTTTCATCATCTTCTCATCCGGGCGGAAACCCTCCAGTCTTTGAACCTTCTTACACCCCTTCGCGATTGCGGATACAAGCTTGCTGCCGTCATCATAGTTGCACACCACTGTTTTGACTTCTGGGCAACAGCGAAGGACATTGTGGGCATGCGAAGGTAAAACTATAGTTTGAATAGCAGGAAAGCTATGCCCATCGAAAGCGCTCTTCAGATGGCCGGTCATCTGCGTGTGCGCTCGCAAAATTTGCAGAGTATGCAGATTGGGAAGGGCGTGCAGACAGCGAACAAAGGCACCGAGAGCAGTGGGCGCATTGCAACGTGTCAGCGCCACGCTCACTTTGCTATGGTAAGGACCGTAATCAGACTCGCAGAAAAATCCATCTCGGGACAGTACTACTCACTGCACAAGTTTTGCATGTTCAAGGCTCTGTTGAAGTCCCTTTGATTTAGTCTCCAAAGCCTCAGCGATGTCTTTATACCAAGCGCCGGAAAGGTCGAAGTTTCTGTTCAAGTCCTCAGATGGTAAGCCCTTGTCTTCTCCCAGGTCTGTAAGAAATATAATCGCTTAACACATGGGCGAATACTCCATACCTCGCCAAGCAGGTGTTTCCACCTGGCCAAGGGTTGCGC